CTGGCTCTGCAGCTGCTGAGAGGAGGTTGGAGCCAGGGGGGTCGGGCTCTGCTCCCCAGGAACAAGGGATGGGACAAGAGGAAAGGGCCTCAAGTTGCCCAGGGGAGGTTGAGGTTGGATCTTGGGAACAATTCCTTCCTGGGAAGGGTTGTCAGGGCCTGGCCCAGGCTGCCCAGGGGGGAGTCCCCATCCCTGGAGGGGTTTCCAAGCCCTGGAGATGGTGCTGAGGGACCTGGGGCAGCCTTGGGAGAGGTGGGTGAATGGTGGGACTGGGTGGTCTTGAAGGTCTTTCCCAACAGAAATTATTCCATGGCTCTATGATGTGTGTGGATTTTGGGTCTGCTGTGGAGGGAGGACCCAGCCATGGCCTCTGCTGGTGTCCTCCTGTGCTGTCCGGGTCTGGGGTGGCTTGTTCTGGGCTGTGATGGTCCAACAGCCCTGGCAGGTGACACAGCAGGAGCCCTGCCCCTCGGGGTGGTGGTGGTGGATGGGGGGGAGGTTGCTGAAGTCCCCCCCGTGTTGACAACTGTTGTGTTGCATCAGCTCTTGGCTGCTGGTTCCTGAGGAAAGGTCCCCAGGTGGTTTGTGGGTGCCCTCAGCACCCAGCCTGGTGCAGAAGGAGCCCACCCCCCAGCAGGGTGCTGAGCTCCTGGAAAGCTGATGTGGGACCCAAGCCTCCCCTTCTCCTTCAAGCTGGACGTGTCCTGTGGGTCAACCTTGGGGACAAGGCTCTTGGAGGTGACCTGGTGGTGGTGGCAATGAAGCAGCTTCACTCTCTCCCTTGAGTTTGGGTCTCCAACCTGTTCCTGAGACCCTCAGGATGGGGCGTGTGACCCATTTTTTGGGGTGCAGGGTCTGGTGCCACCAGGGAGCTGCCACCTCCTGCAGGCTCAGAGCTGAGAGGACTCTGGTCCCTGCAGGAGATTTAACCTTGTCAGGAGATGTTTGATGCTTGATGGGGCTCCAGAGGAAGCTGAAGCAACCTGGGCAGGGGTGGTGAAGCAAACTTGTGGCTGTCTTGAGTGAACTGGGAAGGGGGGG